TAAAACTGTGAAGCATCACATGCATCCTGTTCTGGCCAGCTGTGAAAGTGTACTGTGTGTCGTTTATCAGATTGTGGTACCTGAATGCCTGGCCTTTGCTGGGGTTGTCCGGATACCAGTGACCTTTATACTTCTCCTGTAATGCTACTGTTAACCGCTCCACAAACAGGTCCACCTTGTCCGCATCTAACTTCTCAGCTTTCTTTATCAACCGCTTCAGGAAAAACACCACCGCTGCAATTTCTTTCTTCATTGTTAGCTGTTGAGCTGAAATTCAGGTCCAACTTCTATAAATATAAAGAGACTTTTAGCATGTAAAAGAGTTTATTCACATTTCACAGTTTGGAAGTTTCATTGTTAAAAATCCTAAATACTATAAATACAAATTGAGTTTTGCTGTTGAGAACACTATATTATAAAATATAAAAATGATTAAGCATTGTTTATATGTTTTGTAAGTTCTGTCACATAATATACAGTTAAAGTCAGAATTATTAGCCTTCCTGTATTTTTCCTCCAATTTCTGTTTAACAGAAAGACTTTTACAACACATTTCTAAACATAACGGTTTTTAATAAACATTATAGTTCAGATTTCTTTTATCTTTGCCATGATGACAGTACATAATATTTAATACTGCTTATTTGTCAAAATACTAGTTCAGCTTAAACAGGGTTTCTACAGGTTTCATCAAGTCAAATTTAAGACTTTTAAAGACCTTTTTACATTTCAAACATGTATAAGGCAAAACGTTAAAGATTTGTTTAATGGCCAACTTAAAACTTTAACAAAACATTAAAAACATATGTAATTGTAAGGAAGATAATTAAACCATTTTAATAAGTAATTAGAGTTAATAAATCTGTTTAAAACGATTTAAGTCCTACAACACAACATTTCAGAGGATTTAAGACTTTTTAAAGCCTAAACTGTTTTGTTTATTTAAGACTTTTTATATCTCCACATATTCCATGTTAAAGTGCAATTTAACCCTCTACTGCACGGCGTAACCATATGGCAACATGATACTCATGTTCATTTCCCTGCCACCGTTTCTTTAAGACCAACATATTTTTTTTTGGTTGGAAAGACCTTACAGTAGCCAATGATGTGCTTTGGTTAAGTCACATGACATGCTGTTTTTCTGTAGCACGATTTCTGACAGACAGGCGTTTATTGGGAGTAGTTGCTAAATGCAAATGTCAATAAAAACAAAGGATCAAATTATGTCAGATCCACTAAAAAATCTGAAACATCACCTCTTATAAGTTATGATGACATATTCACAACTCAAATTTATTTTTTAAATCAAATTAGTTTTTAGTAAATCGCTCAAATTTATGTGTTACCAAATGGCAACACTGCGCAATAGTGGAACATGCATTATTGCAATGGGTTAGCTAGCTAGCAAGGTCAGCTGTGAACTTTTAAGTTCTAACAATAACAACATAATGCTAGAAATAAAATGTTGATAAGTTGTATGTTAAAGACATTTGCATAATGGATGAAATCTACTTTTAATGGCAATACTACTTTTGAGTAGATAGCAATACAGGGAACAGTGTATTAGCGAACACCACCATGTTCTATGGTAATTTAAAGAAGAAAAGGGCAGAACTGGCTCTTCCTGCTGATGAAAGAGAGGGCGAGATGGATTTTAGTGACCATGAGAAGGATGTAGACTGGACATTTGATAGAGACTGTTCAGGTAAGTTATCTCAGATGCAGATAAGACAGGTGTAGTATAGTATATGGTATAATGTGTATAAACATTGTTAAATTGTAGCTATTTTTCTGATTTATCTGGATATTCTAGACTTATTTATTTGTTATATTTACTGAATATATACAGTATATATATATATATATATGTAACTGTGTTGTATATATGATAATACAATATTATGATTGTTTTCAATAATATTCAGCAAAAAAGAATGCAATAAATGAAAGCTGTTGGAGAATGAGTTGTGGTAAAGTATGTATAAGGTGTTATTTATAAGTTCCATGTTAAAGCTCATAATGCTGAAACACAAAATAAATTATTTCAAACAAAAAAATTATGAATTATAAGGAAAGTTTTAAATTTGAAATTTCTAAGTTAGATAAACTGTTGCACTTTGTTGCCATATGGCAACATTTCATAAAGTACCTTAAAAAAAGATTTTTTCCTTTTTTTTTTTTTTAACAGCACTTCAAGTTAAGCCATTTTAAGAAAAGAAAAACAGTGAAATATTTTTTTACAGGTTTATCATAATGCATGCGGTAGAGGGTTAAAGACTAGGTAGTAAATTGGGTCAACTAGGTAAGTTAAGATAATTATGCAAAGTAAAATGACAGTTTGTCTTGTAATATTGACATTAAAAGTGGTTTAAAAAAAGTACAAATCTGCTTTTATTCTAGCCGAAATAAAACAAATAAAGCTTTCTCCAGAAGAAAAAATAATACAGGAAATACTGTGAAAAACTCCTTGGTCTGTTACACAAAATTAGGAAAATATATGAAAAAAAAAAAAAAAAAAACAAGACGGCTAAACATTTTGACATCAACTGTATGTTATAAAAGCTTGTGACAAATAATTTGCAACAACTTAAACATCAAATCAATACTGTGTGCTAAACCGGTTAATTGTATGTGAGAAACTCAGAACTTGTGAACATCTTAAAATCACTCAAAACTGTTTATTTTTTAATCAAATACACAGAGATCGACAAGGTAACTATAGGTCTAATGTTGTTTTTTTTACGATATAATGTGCTGTGTAATGTTTATATTTCAGGCAAAGCTCACAATAGGTTGTATGAAAGCAAACTGAAAAAAAAGCTGAAAAGGCGTTCAGAAGATAAAATGGTGATTTTAACATTCAAATAAATAAACTAGCCATCACAAAGTTTGTTTAATACTAAATTTACGACTATTGAAATTAGAGTTATACAATCATCTAATAATATTGGCTTTGTAACAAACAGTGCGATGTCAGTTGTCTAATATTGTGCACTTCTAACAATAACACGATTAGGAATCATTGTCACAATTATTATTGATAATAATAAGAACATTGGGAAAATTTATAAAACCTCTTTAAAAATCCAAAACCTCAATCTAGGAATGTAGCTTACCAGAAACATAAGCTCATAACAACTTGGCTGTTGATACTAAAGCTAGTGTGCACTAGAGCAAGTGATTAGCACAAAGCTGGCGGTCAGGTGGCGGGACAGAACAGCAGGAAGGCGCGCCAAACACAACACGACAGTTTGAAAAACAAGACCAAAACAGAAACACAGAATCATCGGTTAAAATATATGAAATAATTTAAATTTTTCATAATTTTCGCCAAAAATGTTGCATTTACCAAATATTTTCGGAAACACGGACTAGACAGAGAGTTGTAGACGTCACAGCAAAACACCAAACATATTTCTCACATCTTCGTTTATTTATTATTTTTTTACGCAACGTACTGATAGTTATTGTCCATATGGACATTAGTCGCGTAAGAAAACTGATTAATCTTTATGAGAAATTTCATTTAGTCGCCAAACTGAACGCCACGAAACAAAAACAGTGGCATTGTTGAGATGTTAAATATTGAAACCACAACCCCACACATTTTGCTTTCAGACATATTAAAACGTTTTTAAAAATGTTATATGCCACGTTTATTAAACCAGCTCACTTTAGCCTAACGTTAGCCGAAGTTAACGTGGCCTCGATTCTATCAACACTTGTTTTTTTCCGACCGTTTCTTTAAAAACACCCATTTTTAAATCGTTTTTAATTTTACATTTGGACGTTAAAAATATATATTAATTCTACGTGAGCTCGCATTATCACTGCAAATAGGAATAGAAAAACTGACCGTGTTTTCTTTTCATCCACATGTGGAAAACTCCTTCTGCCTCGCGCACAAGCCACTTCCAATCCAGCTCCCCCGCGCGACTATGTGTGTGACGTGACTGTGTCTTGTGCGCATGCTCGGAGGAAATGACTCAGGAGTCGATTCATTTGATTCGTGAAGCGAAAGATTCAAGATAATAAAAGCTGCGCAATGTTTGGAGTGTGTTGATGTGCAGACGCACAAATAAACGCAAGGTGGAAGTATTATAGCTGCTTTAGCGATTAAAAAGGTGGACCATTACTAATTCAGTACAGCAATCAAAATAAGTGGACAATTACTTATTCGGCTTATGTCAATAATGTGGTCGTTTAGGAAAATGTTAAAAGCTGCTGTGCATTAAAATCATTATATTATTGCATTTTATAATTTTGTAATTGTTATTATAAAAGTAACATCAATAAAAATAATCTAATACTTTTATAAACAATAATTAATAAATCGTCAAATAAAACATTAAATAAGAATAATATACGATAAACAAATAAACACTATTAAAAACGAAAACTAAATTAATAATTAACAAATGAACAAAAACAAAATAATGTACGAATTTTTACTTTTTATATGCATAAATTAATAAAAAATAAATTGTTAAGATTTAAATAAATAAAGAATAAAAATGTAAGTAAAATAAATTAATCATATTGGATTTTATATAACGTATTATATATAACGTAACATACGTACAAATAAAACAAAAGGTACAAGTAAACAAATAAATATTAACACTCTTTGTTAAGTAAAACTAAATATTTTCTAAACTACGTTAATGTATTATTTTACATATAAATGTATATATTTATTCAAGAAACTATATAGAGTAGATGAATTTAAAATTTTAGAAGGGGGTTTCCGTCATATGAGGAAAATCATACTTGGGAGTCCATGACAAGACTGAAAACCAGCATCACGCTACCTGTGGCATTTTAATAAACCGGACAATGGCGACCTCTAGTGTGCAATGGGATGTTTTGCTAGGCAAACAGCTATTTTGCAGGATTTTATATTTTTCAAAAGATATTTTATTTAGTTATTTAATTATTTTTAAAAGTTTATCTCGGCCAGGTATTATGTTATAACTAACCATACATCAATGAAAATCTTTTATTTATTTATTTATTTTTTATTCAAAGAAATATACAAAGTAGGCCTTACATGCATAAACAAGCTTGAAGTAATTACAACAATAGGCAGAGACAAATATAGGGAAAAAGCCAAATATGGTAATGAAAAATGCGACTGATGTAAAAAAAGTTAATAAATAAATAAAATAATAATAATTAAATAAAATAAATTATAAAAGTTTACACAATATAACCCTTCAAAGGGTTGTGAAGGGGCTATAGGGTACAAAATTAAGTTACTTTATCATTTGACAAAGTACTAAGTGATGAAGCAAGTTTATTAATATAGTGTAAAATGTGTGTGTGTGTGTGTGTGTGTGTGTGTGTGTGTGTGTGTGTGTGTGAGGGGGGTGAGGGGGTTATTGATAAATTTTTACAAAGAATAAAATATTATTAACTAGGTAATGCTGAGTACAATTTTCTTTAGTTACACCAAATTTAAATCGTTTACAGCAAAAAGGGTTTACATAGATATTGACATGAGAAATCTGTCATGTATATGAGACCAAAATAACTCTGAGTAGATGCAATTGTAGAAAATATGCACGGTGGTTTCAATACAACAATTAAAGTCTTGTCTATCCAGCTTTCAGGTGATCTATCTAAATTCAAAAATAACAAAAAAAGCCACTTTAAAAGTCACAAAAGTAAAGTCTCCTGTGCAATTCTATTGAAATAACAATGCAACCAGAACTGCAAATTACCAACAGCGCACACTGTTTATTAATACCATATAAATGATTTTTAATATAGGCAGCATGTTTTACTGAACATTAATATTGCATAAAAATTAGATTCTCTTGCTCATATACAACAACACACATTACAAATGTTATTTATCAAAAGCACAATGACAGTGTTAATAAGTGTTAAGTAAAGGCAGATAAAAGTTAAGAAACGTTACCTAAAAACAGTTTGCTCTGGAACAAATAACAGATTAAAGATACCAAAGATGGCTCCTTATTACTTACAATTAATTATTATATTTTACCACTTTACATACATCGCCAGCAGTTGATTCCAGAAGAACTGGCCAAAGTAAAGCTGTCTTTGGTTTCATAAGTGCTGAAACACAGATACCTTGCGTTCACATGCCATACATCTACAACTACATTCTAACCTCTTTAAAATACATTCAGTGACACAACAACAGTAATATTTGTACATTTATAGTGGCTTTGGTCCTTTGACACGACTCTTCATGTTCGAAATTCTGTAAAGAGTTTACTGTAATAATAGCCTACAGGAAGATCACATGGAGATAAAGACCTCTCAGCCAATCAGAATCAAGAACCAGTATGAATTGTTGCATGAAACTCTGTATTACTATACACAAACAAGTTAGGGTTAGTGAATGAATCAGACAACATCAATCATAGTGAAAAAGCTTCATGTGGTCATGCGTGGAGTCTGACCAGGCTGCATGGGACTGGATCGTGATTATGCAGTGATGGGGGTGTCAGATTGGACAGGAGAACCTGTGATAGGCTCTTACTGGATGAACATGACAACTTGATTTGTGTAATTCTGAACATTTTGACTTTGAAGATTGCGCGACCCTGCAACATATTAATATTATTAATTCCAATGCATGATTCTAACTATATTTGGGATGCCAAAAAGCTGCCATTTTTACTATCACATTTACAAAACATGCTGTGCATTACATTTTGCATTACATTTTAGGAAGAAGGTTACACTCACTGTAATGTGCACAGAAGACTGCAATAATGAGTATTATGACAATAATCAGCAATGCAGAAGTCTTCACAGCTATCCATACACCTGCAGTATTAAAAACAGTTATTAAAGCAGAATAAACAAGCACAATTATTGCATTTCAAACATGCTACACTTTAAAAAAGCTAGGGATTTTTTATTTGTTAAAATAAAGTTATAATGCCAAATTTAATCCTATTTTTAGGTTTAATATCTTACTTAAATTGGCTTAAAAAATGCAGCATTTTCAGAATGTGTGGGATCTATTACTATTATGAGACTGCTATGTAACATCAATTACAAACACAAAATAGGTGATACCTCGGTCCTTGTTACAGTAATTAGGGAGCACATGAAGAGTTGTTGGTTGGCTTAAGGTCGAGTGGTTCACCCAACACGAGTAGTTTTCACAGTCAGATGTATTCAGATATGAATGGAGAGTGAAGGATCCATCTGGGTTGGTTTTGTTAATGTTTAGTGTCTGAGAAATGTTCTGAAATTCTCCATTTCTCATCCACACCTGTTCTATAGCTGAAGGATAAAACTCTTCAGAGCTGCAAAGGATTGTAAATCCATCCAATGCTCTTGTTTGTGATACAGACACAGTGGGGCGAGCTGTAAGAAATTGAAGCGGTAATAGTTTTAACAGCATAAACATGTTAATTCATTGTATAATATCTACCATCACATATCAATTTACTTCTAGTCATAATTAACTTACCAATCACTTGAACAAATGTTCTGTCTTCTCGCAAAACAACTGAAGGAGGTGGAATGGTTCTGGTCTGAACACATTTATAAGTGCCAGTATCAATTATTTGCAGATTTGATACCTCAAATGAGATGCTATTAAGGATTAAATTAATCTAACATTATACTTACAAGATTGACTAATCAATGAATTGTTCATAATCTTTACTGAGCACAATGTATAATAGCTATATTTGTTTTCTAGTTTCACATCAAAAGCGACAGTTTCATCTGATGGTTTGTATCTACAGCTAATATTGACTGACGCTCCTCGATGAACAGTTTGAACTGATGTGTTGGTTAAAGATGTATATCCAGCTACAACAGCTAAAAAAAGCAGGCATATTAAAGAAATAAGTATGTTTAATGTTGAATAACAGTACGAAGATTAAACAGAACTGCATAATCGTTACCAGAAAACAAAGCCAGGAGCATCCACTCGCATGCAGTCACAAAGATTCTCACTGATAACATCTATTGAGAACAGAAAGATATAGCGATAGTTTATTTTTGCTTGTTTTGCATTAATGACTAGTTGACTACTAACAAATAGCCATGAAGTATTGATCTGAATTTAAATAAAGGTTATCAAAATGAAAAGTTAGATGATACAAATGGATGAAACTAGAACAAATAAGAAAACCGCGGCAAGCTGAGAGTCAGTCAGAGCTTATTTTATATTTCTGATAGCAGACGACCGACTGCATCAAGCATTCAAGGATATAAACAGCTAGTCTTTCTGCAAAGTGATCCATATCAAGATTTTAAACAGCACATACATTACTGCATGGTTATTATGATTCACAAATTTAAGAAAAACAGGTTTCTCATATAAACATTTTAGCATGTACACTATTATTAATCTTAAATAATATGAAATTCTCACCATTTCAAATGTCAGAAAGTTCCTCCTTTTGTAAATCTTATGAATGGTTCAACCTTCTCGATGGTGCGAAAGAAGAAGTGATGATTCTCTGAGGAGGAGCTTTTATTTTATGTAAGTCAAGTAAGAAACAAACTCAACCAATCTGACGAAGACAGTCTGAATCTTAAAAACCTATCGCTTAAGGCTGATTTATACTTCTGCGTCAAACACCGGCGTAGGCTACGGCGCTGACGCATAGCCCTTCGCCGTGGCCATCGCCGTCACTGACGTGCACCTCTCAAAAATTGTAACTACACGTCGCAACAACGCGTAGCGCAAGCTCTGTGATTGGTCGGCTTGGTAGCGCTGACGAGTCTGGGCGGGACCGAAAGCCGCGCGAATGGCGTGAGCGATTGTTTACAAGTGTGGAGTCCCGTGAAGGAGCTCCGGATGGAAAGTTTTGTTTTGTGTTTACCTCATGGTTAAAGTTACCTCATGGTTAAAGTTGTTGCACGTCCGCCGGTTCCTGCCTCAAAATGAGCGAGTTTGAGTCACTTGTACATCCAGGAAGTGATCAGAATAGCAAAACAGAAGCGAAGAAACTCGACACAGAGGAACATTTACACCTCACTGCCCACTAGCGTTTCGGAAGTGTTAATGCAGACCAACGGAGACAGCGCGCAGAAGTATAAATGCACAGCCACGCACGTTGCCTGCGCCGTGAGTTGCGCCGGTCACTTGACGCAGAAGTATAAACCAGGCTTAAAGCGTAATCGTAAGGTAGCAGCCAACCACAAAAGCTCTTTTCTTTTCAGGCCTTCGAGTTGCTGAGCTGAGGGACCTCAAATGGTTAAAACAAATGTCCTCCAGACCTCATTTGCTTGAAACTGTCTGCACCAAGACCTCTTCTGTACAGCATGCTTCATGCTCTAAAAGCGGTGAGCCTTAATTTAAACCACACGGTGTAAGAAGTGTTGTGGATTGAAGAAAAGAGACTTTTTGCATATCTTCAAAGCAGAATCCTTTAATGAGAACTGCTGTGTTCAACATCAAATCAATCTAAATTTAATCTAGTGCAGCTTTACACTCAATTTAAATACATTTTTAGGGGGCAGAGATACACAGAGGTGGAGACAAATCCAAACAAAAACATGCAAATAAAGTACAGGAGTCAGCCAGGTAAACTGCATTTCCCCAGCCCTATTTTATTAACAGAATAGTACCGATTCAGATGCAAAAGTGTTAATCCAATCGGTCATTTGGGACTCTGCCCACTGGTCAGGAAGTGGATAGAGACAATAGGTTAATTGTCCAAATAGTATCTGGATGCAGACTCCAACACTTGGCCTGCTAAAAACCAAAGAATCTAAGTTTTCAGTTTATGTAAGTTGTATAAATATTATTGTTAATTTGTTAAATAAATTTATTACATACATTTTTATTTCCACAGAGATTACGCACGTGCGAGGCAGGGAAGTTGATTTTATGGTCACGCGCAATAAGACACTAAACAAAACAATGTACAAAATGAAATGGATGCATTACATAATAACAAAAAGCCAGTGCATTGATCTTGTGCTCAATTCAAATTACTGTCTGCAGTTGGCAAACCAGTTTCTGTTGCATCTTAAGGCTGTTATAGGAAGCACTTTGCAAGAGATTTCCTTGTGTTCATGCTGCAACTTATGGCATGCTATATTTAGTCTTTCACTTTGTGAAGCTAGTCACCTTTTTTGTACCCCCCTCCCCCCCATAGATAGTCTGCTAACTATAAGTCCAATTACAAATTCATATCTGCTTCCTCTCATCTCCGTAGAGTCCGTAGATTGTCTTTAAAAAGTTCTTAGGCAATCAATACAACATGTAAACATCTGTTAAAATTTTGGTCAGTTTAATGCTAACAGTTTAACCTGTAGATGTTAGATTCTGTTGAAAGACATTTGTTGCGAGCCAATATCACAGAAAAGAAGACAACTGGTGTTTTTGCTTCTTGTTCATGCGTCAAATTCTTGCACCAGTGTCAGTACTAACTGTCTGTTGAACATGTAATAAGTAGTTTGCTGTCCATGTTGTCTTTTATGTTGGATCAAAACAGTTGTCATTCAACAGCAGTTCCTAGATTTTCACTTCATTGTGATGGCCTAATCTGACAACAGATGAGCAGCAGATGAATCTACCTAACTGTCTGATTTACCCCTTGTGTGCTGTAGAGATATTTTCATCCACTTTGGGGTGATTTTCAGTCCTAATGTGGCCACAAGTTTCTCTGTGTTTCAGTAAACAGAATGATTTTTGGTGACAAACCCTGTTTTGACAGATATTTTGGGAAATTTTTTGAATTTTTTCAAGAATTCAACAATACACTCTGGAAAAAATTGACTACGCTTTCATATGTTCATGGCTGATGTAGTGACATTTTTGATTGCAAAGCCATGACGCCTTATAATCATGCATTCTTGATTGTTGCTGGTTTTTCCTGTTGGGATGAGGTAAAACTTAATTTTTTTTACTGGTAATCATCAGTTTACCTCTTCCCAACAGGGAAAACCACCAACAATCAAAGTTTTGGTTATGACAAAAAGGACAAGATCTCAAAAGCGGTCAAAATGAGTTGCTTTGTCACCCAGGAGGAGCTCTATTAGGTTAATATAACGTAACTCAATGTGTACAAATAAAAGAAAAGATAAAAGCAAATTAATAAATAAAATAACATTTGTTGAGTAAAACTAAATATTTTCTAAATTAAGTAAATGTATTTTTTCAATAATACAAATGGTGTCTTTATTCAAGAAACTATAGCAGATGTATTTAAATTTTAGAAGGGAATTTCAGTCATGTGAGGAAAATCATATTTTAGAAGTCCTTGACCAGACTGAAAACCAGCAACGCTACATGTGGTATTTTTGGACAATGGTGCCCTCTAGTTAGCAATGTGAAGTTTTGCAAGAAAAAAAAACTGCTAAGTTGAGAAAGTTTTCTTAGAATGACAAAATCCTAGCTTCAGCAGCACTATACAGACAAAATTTCGTCGTCATAAATTATATATTATACAGTTAGCCTATCTGTCTCAGTTATCTTACAGATAGGTTGGTGTGGCCAGGTTTAATGTTGTAAAATCATACTGTTAAATAGAGGATTTTTTCAAGATGATTTATTTCACAATTAACTTAGCTTACTGTTTATTTCAACGTACATTCAGATGTTTATTCGCGTTTATTTGCGCTAGGCCTATATAGTTCACATGTACATTTCTCACGCTTGCGGTTTACATTCTGTTGCTTTCAGCCTCTGCTTTACAGGTACGCTGAGCAAATTTCGACACATTATTCATGATATTTACAGTACAACGAATGTCAGGAAATTTGCCCGGAAACAGCAGCTCTTTAATCAAACATCAGATCGGTAACACTTACTTTCACCAGTGCATTTGATCAAGTATCAATTACTTTTCAGCACGATAATCTTGAGAGGTTATAATGTCCTCGCAGTTATAATTGATATGCTAAACTTAGGTGCTCTTCGTGTTACTTTCATGTTAACTGAAAATATTTTCAGGATGTAGCCTATCTATTCTCGCTCATAGGTGTTAAAACGCGGGCAGCTTCATCACAAAGAAAATCGCAATGCAGGACCGTGTGGATTATTGAATTAGTGAAACATAGGCTACTAAATTAAAGGAACTAAAAATTGTTAACAAAAGTAGTATAAAATACACTGGATGTTTTTACAATACAGATGTAAAGATAATTTAGGTAAAAGCAGAATTAAATTCACTAAGAACATGCTGAAACTTGGTTAAGACTGCTGAAAAAATAGCATATGCTGCTATGGTATGTTTTGATGCTGGTATGCTGGTCTTGCTTGTTTCAATGCTGGTTTTGCTGGTCTCAATGCTGGTTTTGCTGGTCTCAATATTGGTCTTGCTGGTCTCAATAATGGTCAGGAGCAGCACTGAGACCAGCAAAACCTATGAGGTGCCGTGTAGGATTTAAATCAAACTTTGCTTATCAACACATACATAAAACACGTGTATATACACCTTTAAATTACTCGCATATACACCTATACTACTGGATGTTCAAAACAACATGAATGAAACTTGTGTATATACTTATAAACTTGACGCATGAATACACCCACATACACACGCGCATACATATAAACTCGATCCTCACATAAACACCCACATTAACACATGCACATACATATAAACTTGCTGCATGCAAACACACCTATACACACTTGCATATACATATAAACTCGATTCTCGCATAAATACCCACATTAACACATGCACATACATATAAACTCACTGCATGCAAACACACCTATACTGGCATATAGCCCCAATGCCTAAACTCAATGCTTGTATACACCTATAAACACCCAAAATAACACTCGCTCAAACATACAAAAAAAAAAATAAAATAAAAATAAAATTCACAAACGTTTATCACGAATCTGGTTATTGCAAAGCTTATGAAATAGAAATAATGTGATTAATAGAGGGGTTAAATATGTTAAATTATGAACATATGTTATATAAAATATAAGTCTATATAAATAGACTATTCAAAATAAGAAATATTTTTATTTAAAACCTTTTCATTTAATTAGGTAATTACATACACAAATATAATTGGACAGATAGAACCCTTAAAGGACGTTCAAAAAGCAACCAGAATTATAAATATAAATGTATACTCAAACTAAACTCCTCTTTTCTATTGCAAATGTTAATGTAGCCTATAGTCTTCTTGTTTTGTTTTTTAAATTTTTATAATTATTATGCTTTTTATATGTTTTTACAATGTGGGTGTCAAAATTGCAAGATTTTGGTATCATTTTGATTGTTAATTATTCAGCATAAAAAAATAAAATTAAAAAACCCCGCTGATTAAAAGTCTCTGCTCATCACGTTGGTCAAGTTATCCCCCATGGAAAAGCTACATATATATTATCTGGACACTCCTTTTGTGTTTAATAACTACTACTTATATTTTTACAGCAGATGGCATCCAGCATTTTGGTGCAATAGCCTGTTTATTGGTGACAGAAATACCCACTTAAGTGCATTCCTGCCCCCTACTGGACATAAGTGTGTATCATAACCCTTGACGAATAGTGACACCAATAATAAAACAAACATAAAAAACTAATATTAAACGAACATATTTTGTTCAAAATGATTACTTAAACAACCTTATATTTATTAAACCATAATAACATTTCCAATAATTTAATTGCATAATAAACCTTTAATTTTGCAGGAGCATTCCTTAGCATTATCTTTTTTTTTTTTTTTTTTTTTTTTAGAATAAGCATTATCTATTTTCATAATTCAACAGATGTAATTCCTCTATTAATCGCATTATTTCTGTTTCTTAAGGTTTGCAATAACCTGATTCATTACAAATAATAATCTTGTTCATTACAGTCAAAGGATTTTTACGTTGAAATTAAACTACTTCCTTTTAAAGTGAAATAACTTCATTCTACTGTGAAAATTCATGCATACACACATATGAAATCACTTGCATATATGTATATACACAACTAACTGTATATATGTTTGAGAATTTTATTTTGTATGTTTCCACAAGTGTCATTTGGGTGTTTATGCACACATCAAGTTTATATTCTTATGTGAGAGTTTATGGGTGTATATGCATAGATCAAGTTTATATGTATATGCAAGCGTGTATAGGTGTGTTTGCATGCAGCAAGTTTATATGTATGTGCATGTGTTAATGTGGGTGTTTATGTTAGGATCGAGTTTATATGTATGCGCGTGTGTATGTAGGTGTATTCATGCGTCAAGTTTATATGTATATAAATAAGTTTCATTCATGTTGTTTTGAACATCCAGTAGTATATGTGTATATGCGAGTAATTTAAAGGTGTATATACACATGTTTTATGTATGTGTTTGTAAGCAAAGTTTGATTTAAATCCTACACGGCACCTCATAAAAACCAGCATTGAGACCAGCACTGAAACCAGCAAGACCAGCAAAACCAGCATTGAGACCAGCATCAAAACATCTTAACAGCATATGCTGTTTTTTCAGTAGGGAAGTTGATGTAAAATCAGACAAATTTTTCAGAAATTATTTTTTGTCTGTGTTTTTGCAGATACAGATTGTTTTAGCTCACATGGGGCAAAGAAGTGAAGCTGGCCTGCGATGGTAGTGTACTTCAGAAACAAGTTCATCAAATCTGAGGTGCTCTAAGATACTTAGTTTTTGGCCAAAGCAATAATAGCTTAATAAAAACATTAGACGACTATGATTTTTTTTCATTGATTTGTATTCTTAAACGACTAGCCAGTGTTTTATTCGAAGCTTAAGAAGAAACATAAAAAGAGTCTATAGTAAAATGCTGTGTTTGACTTGTATTTAACCTCCAACAAATTAGACAGCTGAACTGAGAAAGTTATAATTTAAGAGTGTTTTAACAACACAATTACTACAGCATATGTAAGGCTGATGTAGCTCAAGGGAAACATAGGAAACAACCACAGTGTCCTTAACATCTTTAAAAAATTAAATAAAACCTTAAACATTAGACCAAATGTGTGAGGAATAAAGCCATATCTTTTCATCATTTAAAGTGGAATTGTGGATTCTGTACATGTGAACTTGGACCACAAAACCAAAAAGTCTTTTGTTGCATAGGTATATTGTTTGTAATAGCCAAATATACATGGTATAGGTCAAACATTTACATTTTTTATGCCAAAAAAATCTGAATATTATACAGAACATGTCCTATGAAGATGTTTTGCATTGCTAAGCTTGTAATCTTGACAACTGTAAATGTGATTTTCTCAGTATTTAGATTTTTCGAATCCTTAGATTCCAGATATTTAATTAAATAGTTGTATCTCTGCCAAGCATTGTCTTATAATAACTATCCATATGGAAATTATATATATTCAGCTTCCAGATGATGTATAAATCTAAAATAATAATAATAATAATAATAATAAAATAAATAAATAAATTACACTTGTCACTGATTTTGTGGTCCAGGGTCACAAATGTAAAGTCTCCTGTGAAATTCTTATCGTTTAACAAGGACGTAACAGCTATGAAAATCACAAACACCAACTTGCAGACTGTTCAATATTACCAATGAATGTTTATTTAAAACTGATTTTTAAAAAAATACAAAATCTGATTTATTGTACATTAATATTCCATATTGACAAGATTCTCTTGCTCATATACTGTACAACAGCAACTTAAAGTTTTTGTGACATAAGTTATGAAACGTTGCCTTCAGTAAAATCTGTTTGCTCTGGAACAAATAACAGATTAATGAAACCAAAGATTCCCATTAAAATTAATTATATATCATATTTAACTATAGATACATACACCAGAGCCAGCAGTTGATTCCAGAAGAACTGGCCAAAGTAAAGCTGTTTTTGTGGTTTCATAAGTGCTGAAAAACTACAAATGGACTGGAGTTCGCCATACATGTTGTACAACAACATTATAGCCTCTTTAAAATGCATTCAGTGACACAACAACAGTAATATTTGTACATTTCTGGTTTTGGTCCTATGAAATGACTATGTTAGAAATATTTGCTGTAACAATACTGGTAATGTATCACATTGGCAGAAAGACCTCTCAGTCAATCAGAATCAAGAACCAGAATGAACTGTTGGATGAAACTTAGGGTAGTGAATGAACCGGACTATATTGATCATAGTGAAAAGCCTTGATGTTGTGAGGCATTGAGTCTGACCGGGCTGCATGGAACTGGATGGTGATTACCCAGTGATGAATAGATTTCATTCTGCACATAGGTAGGGGTGTCAGATTGGACAGGAGACCGGTGATGCGCTCTTCCTGGATGAAGATAAAAATGACGACTTGTAATTCTGAAACTTTTGTTTTTGAAGATTGCATCATCCTGCTACATTTGAATAGACATAAATTCAACAGTAACACTTTACTTGGAGCGGTGTTCATTTGACTGTCATATGAAACCCTTATAATCATGAAATGACACATAATGAATGTAAATGAGATTTTATGCATGCTTATGACAGCTATTATTAAGTGTCATTTACTCAATTATGTCATTTTAAATGCATAGATGACGTTTATTATGCTAACTTGACATTGTCATGAACTGAGTGAATGACACTAAATGACAGCTGTTATAAGCATGAATAAAATCTCATTTACATTCATGACGTGTCAATGTCATGATTATAAATGTTTAATGGCAGTCCTATGAACACCACTTTAAGAAAAGTGTTACCATTACGAAATATGATATACACTATATTTTTGCTTTTGATAATATTTAATATTCTTACATAATATTCTTTTTTAAATAAAACTTCTTTGATTCTCAGTGATTTGACACACACACACACATTAAATATTGAAGAATTATTGTTATACTCACTGTAACGCTCACAGGTAACTGTAAGAATGAGTACGGCAAGAATCAGTAATGCAGAGGTCGCCACAGCTATCCATACATCTACTGTATTAAGAACAGTTATTGAGCAGAATTAACTATCACAATTATTGCATTCCAAACATGCTATTCTCTAAAAATGCTGGGGAGTTTTTATTTCTTAAAATAAATATATATTGCCAAATTTAACCTTGTTTTTAGGTTTGTCCATAATATAGCCAATTTGTATGGAAAAAAAATTTTTTTTAGATGTGTGTGGGATTTCATGCTATTATGAGATTGAATATCAATTACAAACATAAAATAGGTGATACCTTGGTCTTTGTTACAGTAATTAGGAAGCACATGAAGACTTGTTGGTTGGCTTAAGGTCGAGTGGTTCACCCAACACGAGTAGTTTTCACAGTCAGATGTATTCAGATATGAATGGAGAGTGAAGGATCCATCTGGGTTGGTTTTGTTAATGTTCAGTGTCTGAGAAATGTTCTGAAATTCTCCATTTCTCATCCACACCTGTTCTATAGCTGAAGGATAAAACTCTTCAGAGCTGCAAAGGATTGTAAATCCATCCAATGCTCTTGTTTGTGATACAGACACAGTGGGGCGAGCTGTAAGAAATTGAAGCGTTAATAGTTTTAACAGCATATACATGTTAATTCATTGTATAATATCTACCATCACATATCAATTTACTTCTAGTCATAATTAACTTACCAATCACTTGAACAAATGTTCTGTCGTCTCGCAAAACAACTGAAGGAGGTGGAATGGTTCTGGTCTGAACACATTTATAAGTGCCAGTATCATTTATCTGCAGATATGATACCTCAAATGAGATGCCATTAAGGATCCAAATTAATCTAACATTATACTTACAAGATTGACTAATCAATGAATTGTTCATAATCTTTACCGAGCACAATATATAATTGCTATAATTGTTTTCTAGTTTCACATCGAAACTGACAGTTTCATCTGATGGTTTGTATCTACAGCTAATATTGACTGATGCTCCTCGATGAACAGTTTGAACTGATGTGTTGGTTAAAGATGTATGTCCAGCTACAACAGCTGAAAAAAGCAGGCAGTTCATATTAAAGAAGTAAATATCTTTATTGCCGAATCACAGTATGAAGATTAAACTGCATAATCATTACCAGAAAACAAAGACAGGAGCATCCACTTGCATGCAGTCACAAAGATACTCACTGATGTTATCTATTGAGAACAGAAAGATATAGCGATAGTTTATTTTTGCCTGTTCTGCATTAATGGCTATAGCTAACTAGTGACAAATAGCCATGAAGTATTGATCTGAATTTAAATAAAGATTATCAAAATGAAAAGTTAGATGACATAAAATGGATGAAACTATGGAAAAAATAAGAAAACAGCGGCAAGCTGAGAGTCAGTCAGAACTTATTTTACATTTCCGATAACAAACGATCAACCAACCAGCATCAAGTATTCAAGAATATAAAAGTCTCTCTGCAAAGTGCTCCATATCAAGATTTTAAAAATCACACATTTGTACATTACTGAATGATTATGATTCACAAGTTTGAGCAAAACAGGTTTCACATTTGACTGTCAGAGAACTTCAAGCTATTTACTAGCAGCATAAAAACATTTTCGCATTTACATTTTAAGCTTACATAATATGAAGTCTCACCATTTCAAATGCCAGAAAGTGCCTCCTCGTTTGTATTTCTCATGAACTGATGGTTCAACCTCACAGTGGTGTGAAAGAAGAAGTGATGATTCTCTGAGGAGGAGCTTTCATTTAAATTAAGTGAGAAACAAGCTCAACCCATCTGACGAAGGCAGTCTGAAACTTAAAAACCTATCATTTAATTGTACGTTTTTTCCAGATGCTCCCAAGAGAAATGACTATTCTTTCAGAGAGCAGCCAATCACAAACACTCTTTTCTTTTCAGGCCTTCACTATGTTGCTGAACTGGGGAACTTTAAATGGTTAAAACCAATGTCCTCAAGACCTCATTTGCTTGAAGCTGTCTGCACCAAGACCTCTTTTGTACAGCATGCGCTTTGTGCTCTGAAGAAGCGGTGAGATCTAATTTAAACCACACAGTGTAGGAGGTTATGAACACGTGCAAGGCAGGGAAGTTGATTTATAGGTCATGTACCATAAGACATACAATACAAAAAAAGATACAAAATGAAAAGAATGAATTATATAATGACCAAAGAGCCAGTGCATTGACCTTGTGCCCAAACCAAGTTACTGTCTGCAGTTGGCAAATGAGTTTCTGTTGCATCTTAAGGCTGTTGTAGGAAGCTCTTAGAAAGTGATTTCCTTGTGTTTATGTTAAAAGGCATGCTATATTTGACCTTTCACTTTGTGCTAGTCACCCTTTTTGTCACAACTGTAATCATATACAAGTTACTTACTCCAAACTATTTTCAAACATTTACAAACCCCAAATCAGAAAATGTTTGGACAGTATGGAAAACGCAAATAAAAAGAAAGTAATGAATTGAAGAAGATAAAGAAATGGATGCTGTGTGTTCCGGATCAAAAAGGATAAGCATCATCCACACTGCAAGCAGCAACAAGTCCAAAAGCCAGGGTCTGTCATGGTATGGGGTTATGTTATAAATGATTTCAGATTTTGAAGCACAATATGCTGCCTTCTTTCATGGTGCACCAAGGCATGTTTCAACAAGACAATGCAAAACCACATTCTGCACACACATCACAAAGTCCTGGCTGTGGAGGAAGATGATACAGGTATTTGTTTGGTCTGTCTGCAGTCCCGACCTGTCTCCAATAGAGAATGTTTGGTGCATTTTAAAGTGCAAAATGCAACAAAGACCCCGTACTGTTGCACACCTTAAGACTTGTTTGCAGGAAGCATAGGACAAAATTAAACCTGAAACACGTCATTACTTGGTGTCAGTCCCTAAACACCACAGTCACAAGTCACAGCTGAATGAACCAAACATTTTAAAACAATAGGATTTTTTAATGAATTTCAGTTGTTTTATAATATTCATTTATTAATTTTCTTTTCGGCTTAGTCGATTAATAATCTGGGGTCACCACAGTGGAATGAGCTGCCAACTTATCCAGCATATGTTTTACGCAGTGGTTGCCCTTCCAGCCATAACCCAACACTGGGAAACACCCATACACACTCTTTCACACACATACACTACGGACAATTAAGCCTATTCAGTTCATCTATAGCATACGCCATGGGCTGTGGGAGAAACCGGAGCACTCAGAGGAAACCCACGCGAACACAAGGACAACATGCAAACTCCACATAGAAATGCCTACTAGCCCAGCCGGGGCTCGAATCAGCGAGTTTATTGCTGTGTGACAATCATGCTACCCACTGCTTCATCGTGATGCCCTGTTTTATAAAATATTTGATCGAACAAAAAGTAACTTGTTTAATTCTGTATGGAAATTGTATTTATAACAGATAAATTTAGTGGATAATTCAATGACCCCTTTGTCTTATAGCTTTTCATTTTGGTAATTAATGACGCAAGTAAATGATTCAAGGATTCTCTTTTTTGGTTGTAGTATGATTCAGGGTTTCTCACAGAAATCAGCTAAATGTGTTATTCAAAGAATTGTTTAAAAACCATTAGTTGCTCTCTCACACATTGAAAGATCTGCTAAATCTGCTTTATAAACAGGGACCAGTGTCCTCTGAAAGTCAAATCTGAAGTCCAAAACTATTAGGGTGGTGAAAAAGCTACAGTTCTATCATTGCAAAATGCATCCCTTTAACATTTATTGTCGAGAAGGGTGGACTCCGATAGGGCTGCATGGCATTGGATGATGGTTACCCAGTGTTGAATACAACATCTCAGTCTGTAGGTGATCATGAAGCACAGGTTCAGATGTGACACTCACTGCTATTGGAGACACAGACGACTTACGTGCTCTTCCTAGAAGAACATGAGAGTATTTATTTAGTCACTGCATTTTATGATAAAAGTATTTTTCAAAACACTAATACTTGGCCCTTCATTCAGTATAAGCCTATGCAACATCACAGAGTTTAATTTAATCAAGAGTTGTGTTTATTTTATGACAGAGATCTTGTATGATCTAAGGTAACGTCTAAAGTGCCAAAGACTTTTAAGTGGGAATCAGGTGACTGGGGTATATGCACAGACTTTTAATTTTCAGTCAGTCAGCCCAAACACATCCTGTGAACTGTCACTCCGTTACAAAATCACCAAGTTTATTATCTGATTTCTTTAAAAATCTGTGATCTTCACTTCGATAGATATACAATATACAGAGGGTTTTTCGACCAGACAAGAAGCACTGCATTAAATTCCATTTTATCACACCATACATTTAAAATACGAATATTTAATTTACCCCAGTATTTCCTACGCTAGCCTGATGCTACTGGCGGATGCTGTAGAGCAGGGGTGCTCAATCCTGTTCCTGGAGATCTACCTTCCTGCAGATTTCAGTTGCTACCCATATCAAACACACCTGCCTGTAATTATCAAGTGGTGTTTAGGTCCTAATTAATTGGTTCAGGTGTGTTTGATATGGGTAGCAACTGAAATCTACAGGAAGGTAGATCTCCAGGAACAGGATTGAGCACCCCTGCTGTAGAGCGTTTACATCAGGGGTGCCCAAACATTTTTCTATAAAGTGCCAAAAATCTAACTAGATTGAGGGCTGTGGGCTGAATGTACTGTATACCAAACCATATATATTATTTTTGCCATGGGTAATTTGCTAATTTATTCTGTTGTATTTAAAAATAACTAGAAAATGTTGCTTTAAATAATGCAGTATAATTTTTTAACATTTTATAATGAACTTATTACAGTAAAAACATAAACAATCCCATTTATAACACAACAGAGTTCAATGCTGAATTTGCTCGGAGATGTCTCGTGCAATGTCCTTCATCTATCAAGTGACAGTATTTACATTTTAAAAGTCTAATTCATTTACAGTATTTAATTACATATTTTAACGTTCGAGGTTACAGAAGTAACCCTTCGTTCCCCGAGGAGGGGAACGGAAGTGCTATAGGTGGATTACATGTAGAAAATCCACGTATGGGAGGTTTCGGTTCAGAAGCCGCTTGTCTGAAAGAGTATTGAACGGGCCAATGAAAGCAATGAATTGGCAGCGTAAGCTTGCACAGGTGTGCCTCATTGCCAATTATCCCAGCATATAAGCACACCTGGCGCTAGCAAACGCCATCCTTTTAAGCTGAAGAGACTTTTAAACAGCTAAGGGACAGTCATTATGGCGATGGAATATAGCACTTCCGTTCCCCTCCTCGGGGAATGAAGGGTTACTTCGGTAACCTCGAACGTTCTCCTTCGGTTGGGGAACTCCAGTGCTATAGGTAGATTTGATGTAAAAAATCCACGTTTGGGAGACTACAGAAAACGCCATAATGACTTCACCTTACCAACGCCTCAGATGGTGCCCTGTCCCTGAGAGAGTAGGTCCTCTCTCAAAAGGATCTGCCAGGGGAGGGCCGTCGCGAGGAGGGAGAGCTCTGATATCCAGGTCCGGTTGGGCCAGAGGGGCGCAACTAGCAGAACCTGCTCCTCGTCCTCCCTGACCTTGCACAATAGCTGCGCGAGCAGGCTCACTGGGGGAGACGCATACTCAGCCATAATCTGCCAGTCGTCGAGATAATTGAGTATGCGGATGCCCGCGAGCCGAAGGGGCGCTAAGGCACCCTCCGCGAGTTTGGTGAAGTCCCGTAGAGACAGAGACAGCCCGAAGAGGAGGACCTTGTATTGTCATGCTCGACCCTCGAACTCAAACCACAGAAACTGGCGGTGGCGCGGAAGAATGGAGACATAAAAATACGCGTCCTTCAGGTTTATGGGTGCAAACCAATCCTGAGGACGAATGCATCGGAGGATGCGCTTCTGCGTAAGCGTTCTGAACGGCAGCTTGTGAAGACAGCGGCTCAAAATGCGCAGATCTAGGATTGGCCGTGACCCACTGCTCTTTTTGGGTACGATTAAGTACGGGCTGTAGAACCCGCTCTCCATCTCGGCTTGAGGAACCGGCTCGATTGCACCCTTAGCCAGGAGGGCAGCAATCTCCTCTAGCAAGACAGGGGCGGACAGGGGTTTGACCCTGGTGAAATACATGTCCGTGAACTTGGGGGGCCGTTTCGCAAACTGAATCGCGTAGCCGAGTCTGATTGTGCGTATCGCTAATGGCGTCATCGCTACAACCGCTGACGTACCAGTGGTGGGGCAGCGTGGGGCGGGTGCGCTGATACGGGGAGCGCGAGGGTCCAGCAGAAGAGCTGGAGGAGAGCGATTCGCTCTGGCTCCGCACTCTGACTCCGGAGTGGGGGCTCGGGGGTTGGGAGAAAGGAGACCGTCCCCCGTTGGAATATAGGCCCTGTCCTCCAGCGGGCGACCTCGGCGAGGAGCAGCGGAGGTGGATGGCTCGGGGGACGGAGCGGGCTTACGGTCCCGCCAATAGATGACATTGCCCATCGCATCTGACTGCTCCTTCACCGCCTTGAACTGCTGGGTGAATTCATCGACGGTGTCGCCGAACAGGCCAGCCTGGGATATGGGCGAGTCAAGAAAGCGAACTTTGTCAACATCGCGCATATCAGCCAGGTTTAGCCAGAGGTGGCGTTCCTGAACCACAAGTGTGGACATCGTCTTCCCCAGAGCACACGCGGCAGACTTAGTAGTCCGGAGAGCATAGTCGGTCGCGGTGCGCAGCTCGTGTAATAAGCCTTGGTTAGATCCACACTCGTGCAGCTCGGACAGTGCCTGCGCTTGGTAGCGCTGGTAGGTGGCCATCTCATGCAAGGCGGAAACAGCCTGTCCCGCAGCCTTGTAAGCTTTGTAAGCCTTGTAAGGGAGGCAGATAACCTACAGGCTTGGGGCGGGAGACGGGGCGGACCGCGCCAAGTGGGGGCGCCACGGGGACAAAGATTGACCGCGATGGCGTGCTCCACTGGCGGGATCGCCTTATACCCCCTGGCAGCTCCACCTTCAAGGGTGGTAAAGGCGGAGGCAGACACAGCGCGGGCAGAGAAAGGTGCCCTCCAAGACTGCATGAGCCTATTCTGCACCTCCGGGAAGAAGGGCACAAAAGGCTTCGAAGGCTTCGCCTTCTGGTCCTCTACGTAACACCCAACTAGTCGGTCCGGCCGCGGAGCTGGGGGATGAACCATCTCCAACCCGACGGCCGAAGCAGCCCGGGAAATCACGGCTAACATGTCCACTTCAGGATCCGTTTTGGTGGTGCTCGCTTGCCCAGAGGGGGCGAGCGGGTCCGGATCATCGTCGGACAGTGAAAGCCTACCCTCCGATGCCGCGGAGGACATCTGGTCTCCGATGTCAGCGAGCGTGAGAGCTACCATCTGATTAGACGGATCACTCCCAGTACCCGAAGCTTGGATGGAGCGCTTGGAGGAGCGAGAGGTCCGCGAGCCCTTAGGCGGCAGATTATCTCTCGCTGAAACCCTCAGATCTGCCCGAGCGCCCGCTGCAGAGCAGGAGGCGACTGGGGTGGCTCGCTCTCTTACGAAAGTTAGCCGCGATCTCAACTGCGCAACGGTCATGGCATCGCAATGACAGCATGAACCGCCCCCGAGCACCACATTAACATGCTGGACCCCCAAACATGTAATGCAGTGATCGTGTCCATCATCCGGAGCCAGGAAACCCCCGCAACCAGAAATGCACAGTCGGAGCGCCATCCTGAAAAGGACGTGCTGCACGACTGTGTTGCTCTTTTAGGAAAGTTTGCAACTATAGGCACCGCTCTGGAGGAGCGGACCCAAAGAAACGCCAGGCAAGGGAGAAACCCAGCTCGACCGTCTGCCGCTGCGTAGACTCGCTCCCATCCCATCTTTCTCCCTCTCTTTTCAGATAAGATGGCGGGCCAAATCAAAGGTTAGGATCTTACTTTGGGCATCTCTGGTTTACACAGTCTTTCATTTAGTTTTATGCTTGAACAACTAAACAAACACTTAATTCTATTCAACTGATTGTATTGTAATTATATCACATAATCGATGCAGTAAAAGTTGATCATTGGATGGAAATCATCTGTGCATAAACCCCAATGGTGACAAAATATTGCATAAAAAATAATCTTTTTTAAATAAATTGAGCCAGATGAATCTTGACATTATCATCCTGGAATATAACCATAGGACATGCTGTAAGAAATGTTTTTTTTGTTTTTGTTTTTAAGAAATAAAAGCCTAGAAATTATTAAAAGAATATAACAATTCAAACCAGAAACACAATCTCAGCAATAAGGGTAGAATCATTAAGGATTTGCTTTTTTAAATCTTAAACAATCTGTTTTTCTCCTTTTTGACAGGCAGTCTATAACACCATCTGTGCATGTGGCCAGTAAGGTTTACCAGTCAAACCAAGAACTCATACCATAGAGGACATTGACTGCTGAGATAAAAACACAATTTGATCTAAAATATCATACCACAATGTTGTCGCCCACAGGATAAAAAGTCTAATGACATTTCACTTGTATATTAAAAATAAAAATAGTAACACTACAATAGCGGTACATAAATAATGATGTGTTGGATGTATTAATATGTAAACTACACATTATTATGAACTAAAGATCAGTTAATGCATGTGCTAATCATGAACAAATTATTACTACAACATGAGTTCATGTGTGAATAACGGCTACCTTGATTACTTGTTTGTACATTTGTTTTTTAATTAATGTATTATTACGACATTAGTTTATGCTTAATTTAACCGTCATCTACTCATGATATGTTAATGTATAATTATATTGTGACATCATTATTAACCCATTTTTAATACTCATGAACTCCTTATGCATGTCTGTCAAGTGCGTTTAAACCGAAGTGTTCTCTCAACATCAATATGAACAGTTTAAACACAGGAGTAGTTAAGGATGAGTTTATCATGATGTGCCCCTCCAAGTAAAGTCATGACAAAATTATACATGAACAGCTCATGAGCTCATGTTGGTTACATTTAGCTTAAACTTAAATGTTAATTAATACATTAATTAACAACACGTACCAACAAGTAATCAAGGTAGCCATTATTTACACATGAACTCTTGTGAGTCATGTTGTAGTTAAAGTTAGTTCATGATTAGCGCACGTCTTATCTCATCAATTCATAATAAAATAATGTTTACTTTACATATTAATATATCATTATGTATCATGTGCTATTATTGTATAGTGTTGTCTGAAAACCTTTAGTAGACTTATGTGCACAAAAAATCTGTAGTTCTAGTTTCAAAATGACTTTCACGCAAAGAATAAGTCACCAAGAGCTGACACTGAGACTTACTGTAAGATTTACATATGATCAATGCACTGATCAAAAAGACAGTCAACAAGACCACAGGCACCACAGTCACAGCCAGAGCTACCCCTAAAGACATAATAATTTTCATATGAATACAGTATTTAAATAAACACATTTAAATAAATAAATTAAAATCTCCAAACATACCCTCTTTTTCATAGCAGGCAGAGATTGGTAAATTGGCGATGAGCGGTTTGTTTAAGGATGAGTGGTTTACCCAGCAGAAGTAGACTGTGTTGTTGATTTGTGGTGGCAGTATAAGGTATGATTTATGACTGAATGATTTATTTGAGTACGAGCTGTTGAAGAATTCTCCATCTCTGATCCACAGCAGTTCAAGTGAATCATTGTTAAATCCAGCAGAGCACAGAATCATGGTAGATCCGTCAGGCATCTTCTCACAAGACAGAGACAAGACGGGACGCACTGCAAATAGTAGAAGCTTTCAAAAACAGCTGTACAATAAATTAATCACAAATCTCTTTTTTTTTCTGATGGCAACTTAATTATTTACCAATAACTTGGACTTGTGTTATTCCCAGATCCATGTGTGGTGGTGGTATAGTCCTCATCACAGTACAGGTGTATGTGTTTTTATCCTGAAGATTTAAGAGCTCAAATGAGATTTCCTTAGTCTCTGGAGTCCAGTTAAACTTGACGTGATCTCTGCAGTTCTGTTGTTTCCATGAACTCCCATTAAAGCGTAGTGAACAGAGAGTATGATTTAATGTCTGAATATTCACTGCCATCAATTCAGTCTCATCTGTTCGGCTGTAGTTGCAGTTGATTCTTGCCGACTGTCCATGATTGACAAATAAAGTTGTAGTGTGATTCATTGCCGCATTGGCAAAATCTGAAAAGCAAAGAACAACCTGAATTTCCCATAGCAAGCTGTGAATTACTCACATAGCTTCTCTGTTGACAAATGCTTCCTGTGTAATTTGCTGAAGCACAAAATGCATTTCACAAAAAATGTCTTTATGTTCTTCATATTGTTCATATTAAAATTTACCAAAGCCTCCAGGTTATTAGCATTTTTGTCAACAAAGAATCATAAAAGACTTGTTTCCTACCAAAAGCTGAAGTCAGCAGCATCCACCCACAACAGATCAGAGAGAAACACTGTAAGACAGTTGACACGTTATACTGAAATGTCAAATGGCTATTTATAACTGGAGTAGATAAATAACCAAGCATCTTAGCAATAGGTACACATTTAATAATTACAACTCTAAAACATACAAATGCATGTTTTTCTTTGCAAACGAACTCTGTAACAATTGCTAAAAAAGATTGATTAAAAAATCTCTCAAATCAGTTAAATACATTATAATGATTTACATCTATAATCGATATGTAAGTTAATAAAATTGTATAAAGAAGCTTTCTTATCTTTATAAAAATCACACATACCATTCCTCTTTCCTATGAAAGCGTGGTGTGTTGTCTCGCTGTTTTAGGCTGAAGTGCAATGAAAGTGGCAGAGGTGTTGATTTCCTCTAAGTTATGCAATGCTTAGCACAAATAAACTAGACAACGATACGTCATCTGGATCTCATCAAATTCCATGTATTTTACGAAACACATTTTAAAAATAGCAAATTACTAAACACACAATTCCAACAAAGATGGTCTGACAAAAATGAAACTAGAATAAAAACATAACGACATCCTTTTCTGACACATTGAATATCTTTAGAAGGCCCTTCCTACTTTCATATAAATTAGCAGCCGAATGCTTTACACCAACACAATCTCTCAGCAATTCCAAAAGATCTGAAATAGTGCAGTTTTCTCTGAGTTGAACCATTGTTGGAAACATTGGTTCTACTTCACACATTAACAAAACAAAACACAAAAAAAAAACGTTTTATTATTATTTTTTTAATAAAAATTATGAAATAAACAAAAATGTCAGAAGGTTAAAGCAGTCAAAAATTAGTAGCACATTCACAGGACTCATTAGTCTCACAGGACACCCATAGTCTCTCACTTCTCTACAGTGATCTTAATCAGCTTTTCAGTCATTTCCACAGTTATCTGACTGTGATTTCATAGTCATTATTTTCAATAAAGGTTTAGATCAGGACTCTGGGTTGCCAATTCATTATTTAAGTGTTTTCAGCTTCAATTACCTGTTTTAGCTATTCTGCGAGATGGGTATAAACGGAGGTTGGAGCCAGCTCTTAAGTGGGTGAAGCCGCCTTTCTACTGCACACGACATTTGGACACGACTGTCGCAGTGTCCGAAATAAAGGAGTGCAAAAGCAAGAGCCTTTATTGCTCGTGAGTACACCATAGTTGAATGAATGAATACTAAAAACTCATAGACCGCCAAAATTTTTGGAGGGAATGTGGAGACAACATAAAACAATAATGTTTTTTATTACTCATTTATTAACAGAATTGTTTTTTTAAAACATAGACTTTTATTTCTTATTTTAAAAAATAACGAAAAAGTATTTCTCATCTCACACTCACGGATCTGCTTAGACATCATATCCAGTTTCATGCGATCTAGTCGTAGGTTCAAATATTTGAACGTATCTGCAGCTCAAATTGTATCAAATTTTTCCACATACGGAGATGATCAGAACTCCACGCAGCTCCCGAACTACTCTCCATTGGAAATTAATGACTTCCGGTCTGTCGCTTTTCATGGAAAGGCGGCTTAAGACTTGAACTCCAAGTGGGCCGTACAAACCTGGAGTTTTTATTTATTCAATGTCTTGTATATATACGACACGGAGCCCAATATTGTGCCTTGTGAATACCTACACCTACTCTCTAAACCTAACCTCACAGTATCTGTTGTGTTTGATTAACGTCTACATCTACCCCAACCCTAAACCCATTCTCACAGTAACCTGATATGTTTTATTAATATCTGCTCCACCTACACCACCTAAACCCAACTTATTTTAGGTTGAAGTCCCTCCCTCTTTGAGGTCACCCATTCTTCTTGAAGTATAATCCCTCCTACTTGGGGTTTCCGGGCTGCAGCAATACCTACTTGCATTCTGCTTTGTGGAGTCATTGTCCTATATGACAATTGTTGGGAGATTTGTATTCACTATGGCATGTAGCTGTAAAATGGGCCATACTCATGCTGCTGACAAAAACAAAACAAAACAAACAACAGCCAAAAACACCAAAAAAAAAAAAAAAAACACCAACCCCTCTCCTCTACCATTTATCAGTGGTGGAAAGAGTCCTGAAAAATCAAACTCCAGTACCATTACTTGTCTAAAAATGTAGGTCAAGTGCTTTTTTAAAGCTTCTGTGTCTTGAGGTCAGTCTTTCTGATTTAATTTTTCCATGCACAATTTGATTAGATAGGAATCACAGGATTGATTATACTAAAATAAACATAGTGACCGCAGATTAAAGGAAAATAGCACAGTAAAAGCACCAACACAGAACAAAATACAGACTCAAGTAAAAGTAAAAGAATGCATTTAAAATTATTTAGTAAAGTACAATTCCTGAGAAAAACTACTCAATTGCAGTAATTTGAGTATTTGGTTCACCACTGTCTTTCACTGACTTCTTTAGACACTTTAGGTTCAGTCTTTCTCTAGCTTGACAATGAGCATTGTGTTCTCATCACTATGGGAAGTATCAATAACTCTTATTGGCTTAAATAGGAATAAGTAGGTGGTGTTTTCTGTTACAACGGAGGTGGTCGACAGTCTTGAATTTGAATACTCAGATTTTATTGCATTAGAGTTTGACTGTTGCTTGTTAGCTGGAAGTGTAAGAGGATGTTGACTTTCATCATATCTTCATAAATACTTGTTAACCACAAACACAAGAGTGGATGAGTGGGAAATAAAGAGTCAGGCCTGTGACGCATCTGTTGAAAAACATGCAAACCACTGACATTTTAGAGACACTACCTGATAAAAGGTCAATGCAGTTTATCAAAACAATGTTGTTTAAAATGCATTTTGTGTTTTAACATAACTTTGATGGTTTTACTCCCCTTCAAATGTTGACTAGTGTACTAGGCCTACAGAGAGATAGTTACAGTTTAGTACACTTTACAGATGCTTTCATGCAAAATTATGAACATGTGATATTTGTTTACACTCATGAGTCAAAACATTATGACCACCATCTAATACACTAGTCCTTTGTGTGATGCTAAAACATCACCTATGGACTATATCAGCGGTTCCAAAAGTGGGGTTCATGGAACAATTACGAGGGGTCCTTGGTGATTTTCCAAAACTCAAACAAATAAAAAGTTTATTAAACTATTAGAATTACCACATTTTATACATAACCCGCAGAAGATAGTTAATAGTTACGTTAAAGAAACAACAATAACAACATGCAAATAAAAATCCATCAGCCTTTAAATTTTTTATAATAATTTTAAATAAAATAAATCAATTACTGTAAAAATTATATGGTAATTATACTGTTGCATTTTTGTGTTGTCAATATGCTCATGTTAATATATGCTTAGTATCCACTAGGCATATATACATGTCCTGAAGTCCACTATCATCACTGTTTTTGAGCGTGTTGAGCTCCAGGTTGTTGTGACTGCACCAGACAGTGAGTTTCTTAAAGTCCTGACTGTAAGCAGACTCATCATGGTCCTGAATGAGGCCGATAAATGTGGTGTCATCTGCAAACTTCAGGAGCTGAACAGAGGAGTTCTTTGAAGTGCATTTACTCGTTTATAGGGAATTCTTGGACTATACAACCCTGGAGGTGTATTGTGATGTAGAGCACCAAAACACTAGCAGTAGACATCCCGAAGAGGCTGAATAGGATTGAAATCTACGGAATTTGGAGGGCAAGAAACACCCTGAATTCGTAATCACTTTCACATGAAAATATAATTTATTCACTGCTGAAAATAACAAACAAATAACAGAAACCTCCACAGAGCAATACAAATAACATAAATGTTACAAAACATACAACGGTTGAGACCCAAAAGACCATTCAAGTTTACATTAAAACAAAGAATTTCCGTTAACTGTTAAAACCACTACAGATTGATGTTTTTCATTGCATTTTTCAGAAGGTTTACCACACATACATTACAATAGTTCACTGCTTCCTGCAAGATGGAAATGTAAAGTTATTGTAATTGCACTGCAAACCTCACTGTTGTCATTACCAAAGATATTAAGTTAATATACCTTGACATTACTTAAAATACCAAGTTTTGGCACCAAACACAGGTGTGTTTAACTTACTCATTAGGCAGCATAAAAATGTTTAATTAGCATTTCTATAATTTCTTTAAACGATTCACCATGTCTCTGTTTGAAATGATTGGTTGCACTTGAAGTTCTGCCTTAACCGTTGTGCTGATTGGTCGACATATGTTATATGACACAAGGTGGTCATTTTGCTTAATTTTACTGAAGCGCAGCAGGACAGAGCCACTACCTGAACCCCTCTGATGAAAGAGAAAAGTTAAATTGGTAGATATTTAAATGCTTATATACATTTTTATAAACTAATATAGTTTATAAGAAAGAAGGTTGCTGGTTTGAGTCCCGGCTGGGTCAGTTAACCGAGTTGTCAAATTTTCCATTACTCAATCGAACTGAGGGAATCCCTTTCCTTAAATAATTGGAGTAGTTTCAACTTATTAGGGTTTACCAAGTACAGATTGCAGTTGTCTGCTCTGGATTTTTTGTGATTTTGTTGCATTATAAAGAAAATGGTGACAACGGATATACCATCAAAGCAAAACCACTTAACACGCTTTGGCCTACATGTTGTCGTTGCACAGCAAATCAGGCATTAAAGCAAAGGTTAGGTATATTCTCATCTGCCTATTCTCTACACTCTTCTGCATGTGGTTTGGGCTTGTTTGCTCTGCCTGCTCTGCTGTTTGCTCTGATGTACATAATAGCTCCAAATCAACAATAAAAAGCACAACACAACATACCATGCCAGCGCTGAGGGTCCCTGTTAACAAACCCCTTAAACTCTGTCAACAGTCAGTAATGTAATGCAAGAAG